GGCTGTGAGCGGCTGTGAGCGGCTGTGAGCGGCTGTGAGCGGCTGTTAGCGGCTGTGAGCGGCTGTGAGCGGCTGTGAGCGGCTGTGAGCGGCTGTGAGCGGCTGTCAGCGGCTGTCAGCGGCTGTCAGCGGCTGTCAGCGGCTGTCAGCGGCTGTCAGCGGCTGTGAGCGGCTGTGAGCGGCTGTGAGCGGCTGTGAGCGGCTGTGAGCGGCTGTGAGCGGCTGTGAGCGGCTGTGAGCGGCTGTGAGCGGCTGTTAGCGGCTGTTAGCGGCTGTGAGCGGCTGTGAGCGGCTGTGAGCGGCTGTGAGCGGCTGTGAGCGGCTGTTAGCGGCTGTGAGCGGCTGTGAGCGGCTGTGAGCGGCTGTGAGCGGCTGTGAGCGGCTGTGAGCGGCTGTTAGCGGCTGTTAGCGGCTGTGAGCGGCTGTGAGCGGCTGTGAGCGGCTGTGAGCGGCTGTGAGCGGCTGTGAGCGGCTGTGAGCGGCTGTGAGCGGCTGTTAGCGGCTGTTAGCGGCTGTTAGCGGCTGTTAGCGGCTGTTAGCGGCTGTCAGCGGCTGTCAGCGGCTGTGAGCGGCTGTGAGCGGCTGTGAGCGGCTGTTAGCGGCTGTGAGCGGCTGTGAGCGGCTGTGAGCGGCTGTGAGCGGCTGTGAGCGGCTGTTAGCGGCTGTGAGCGGCTGTTAGCGGCTGTCAGCGGCTGTCAGCGGCTGTCAGCGGCTGTCAGCGGCTGTCAGCGGCTGTCAGCGGCTGTCAGCGGCTGTCAGCGGCTGTGAGCGGCTGTGAGCGGCTGTGAGCGGCTGTGAGCGGCTGTTAGCGGCTGTTAGCGGCTGTTAGCGGCTGTGAGCGGCTGTGAGCGGCTGTTAGCGGCTGTTAGCGGCTGTTAGCGGCTGTTAGCGGCTGTCAGCGGCTGTCAGCGGCTGTGAGCGGCTGTGAGCGGCTGTGAGCGGCTGTTAGCGGCTGTTAGCGGCTGTGAGCGGCTGTGAGCGGCTGTTAGCGGCTGTTAGCGGCTGTTAGCGGCTGTCAGCGGCTGTCAGCGGCTGTGAGCGGCTGTGAGCGGCTGTGAGCGGCTGTGAGCGGCTGTGAGCGGCTGTGAGCGGCTGTTAGCGGCTGTTAGCGGCTGTTAGCGGCTGTTAGCGGCTGTTAGCGGCTGTGAGCGGCTGTCAGCGGCTGTCAGCGGCTGTCAGCGGCTGTGAGCGGCTGTCAGCGGCTGTCAGCGGCTGTCAGCGGCTGTCAGCGGCTGTCAGCGGCTGTGAGCGGCTGTCAGCGGCTGTCAGCGGCTGTCAGCGGCTGTCAGCGGCTGTGAGCGGCTGTTAGCGGCTGTTAGCGGCTGTGAGCGGCTGTGAGCGGCTGTGAGCGGCTGTTAGCGGCTGTTAGCGGCTGTTAGCGGCTGTGAGCGGCTGTTAGCGGCTGTGAGCGGCTGTCAGCGGCTGTCAGCGGCTGTGAGCGGCTGTGAGCGGCTGTGAGCGGCTGTGAGCGGCTGTGAGCGGCTGTGAGCGGCTGTGAGCGGCTGTGAGCGGCTGTTAGCGGCTGTGAGCGGCTGTGAGCGGCTGTTAGCGGCTGTGAGCGGCTGTTAGCGGCTGTTAGCGGCTGTGAGCGGCTGTGAGCGGCTGTGAGCGGCTGTGAGCGGCTGTGAGCGGCTGTTAGCGGCTGTTAGCGGCTGTGAGCGGCTGTGAGCGGCTGTCAGCGGCTGTCAGCGGCTGTCAGCGGCTGTGAGCGGCTGTGAGCGGCTGTGAGCGGCTGTGAGCGGCTGTGAGCGGCTGTGAGCGGCTGTGAGCGGCTGTTAGCGGCTGTGAGCGGCTGTTAGCGGCTGTTAGCGGCTGTGAGCGGCTGTCAGCGGCTGTCAGCGGCTGTGAGCGGCTGTTAGCGGCTGTTAGCGGCTGTCAGCGGCTGTGAGCGGCTGTTAGCGGCTGTTAGCGGCTGTTAGCGGCTGTGAGCGGCTGTGAGCGGCTGTGAGCGGCTGTGAGCGGCTGTTAGCGGCTGTTAGCGGCTGTTAGCGGCTGTGAGCGGCTGTGAGCGGCTGTCAGCGGCTGTCAGCGGCTGTGAGCGGCTGTTAGCGGCTGTTAGCGGCTGTCAGCGGCTGTGAGCGGCTGTCAGCGGCTGTGAGCGGCTGTTAGCGGCTGTTAGCGGCTGTTAGCGGCTGTGAGCGGCTGTGAGCGGCTGTGAGCGGCTGTTAGCGGCTGTTAGCGGCTGTTAGCGGCTGTGAGCGGCTGTGAGCGGCTGTGAGCGGCTGTGAGCGGCTGTTAGCGGCTGTGAGCGGCTGTTAGCGGCTGTGAGCGGCTGTGAGCGGCTGTTAGCGGCTGTTAGCGGCTGTTAGCGGCTGTTAGCGGCTGTCAGCGGCTGTGAGCGGCTGTGAGCGGCTGTGAGCGGCTGTGAGCGGCTGTGAGCGGCTGTTAGCGGCTGTTAGCGGCTGTTAGCGGCTGTTAGCGGCTGTCAGCGGCTGTGAGGACAACAATAAACATATTCACACTCTGTTTCTTTGTTTTTAAATCTGACTTATGTGTATTATTTTCATCTGTATTAAAATTGTGTGTGTTATTAGCAGGGTAATGTGTGTGTTATTAGCAGGGTAATGTGTGTGTTATTAGCAGGGTAATGTGTGTGTGTTATTAGCAGGGTAATTTGTGTGTGTTATTAGCAGGGTAATGTGTGTGTGTGTGTTATTAGCAGGGTAATGTGTGTGTGTTATTAGCAGTGTAATGTTGTGTGTGTGTTATTAGCAGGGTAATGTGTGTGTGTGTTATTAGCAGGGTAATGTGTGTGTGTGTTATTAGCAGGGTAATGTGTGTGTGTTATTAGCAGGGTAATGTGTGTGTGTTATTAGCAGGGTAATGTGTGTGTGTGTGATATTAGCAGGGTAATGTGTGTGTGTTATTAGCAGGGTAATGTGTGTGTGTTATTAGCAGGGTAATGTGTGTGTGTGTTATTAGCAGGGTAATGTGTGTGTGTGTTATTAGCAGGGTAATGTGTGTGTGTTATTAGCAGGGTAATGTGTGTGTGTGTTATTAGCAGGGTAATGTGTGTGTGTTATTAGCAGGGTAATGTGTGTGTGTTATTAGCAGGGTAATGTGTGTGTGTGATATTAAAATCTCTCTCTCTTGCGCTTCAAAGGGATTTCTCCTTTTCCTCGTTAACATGGAATATTACATGTTTCATTAATGAGTATTTAAAAAGGTCCTAAATCTCTCTGGGGTTAGATTGTCGCAGAAAAGGTTCGGGAAAATGAACACTGCCTTGTACTGACTCAGAGCAGCTGGAATTGTTCGTTGTATCGTTTGGTTGATCGGTGCCACAGTGTCAGCTGTTTTTTTAAATTATTTTATATTCAGTGTATGTGTATTTTATATTACATTGTATCGTGCTTTTTATTCTGTCGGTGCACAGAGTACCTTTTTTTGCAAATGTATTCCAATGTAGTTTTTATACTGCACATGGCCAATAAATGAATCTGAATCTGAATCTGAATCTGAATTGAATAATACTGAGGAAATAATCATCAAACCGAATAACCTGAAACATTATTGATCACAGTAAGTTCTACGAATGTGGAAGGAGCATTAACACAACTGAAATATATGGTTTTAACATCAAAGTAGCAGATCACATGTTTCGACAAACTGTAAAAACATCCTCAGGAATTCAGATACAATCTTGGAACAAATCTCTCTGAAATTGTAGTTGCTAATAAAGTTCCATGAAATTGTTTTTAAACCATCACAAGCTGCGAATAATCAATTTGTCGATGAAACAGTTACTATGATAAACATTGCTTGTTCTGGGAAAACATAATAATCATACAAATAATCATAATGCATCGGTTTTATTGGTTTTATACAGCGCTTTTTTGGACACTCAAAGTCTCTTTACATGTTATTATTCTTTCACTTACTCCAAACGACTTCTGTAGCCACAGCTGCCCTGGGGCACACTGACAGAAGCGAGGCATTCAGTCTCCCACCACCACCAACCATTCACACACACACCAGACTCATTCTAATGTGAGGGAAGTGTCGTGTGTGTTTTTGTTGTTGTCTTGTTTTATTCACACCCTTGGCTCCGTGGCCGGACCTATTTCTGATAAAGCCTAAGTATATTGGCCGCAGTCTGCACCTAGCCTTTTATAGCGTTACATTTGGCGAGTTAGCCAGACGAGCTTCTTGCCCCCAGTCAGCCAGTTGTCTACTGCCAGCCTGGTCCATGGCCGAGGACATACATGGGATCACGGGGAGAAGATGTAACCCACATGAGTTAGCGGCTCAGTCCCTGCCCCGTCCCTGCCATTTTATTTTGGCGGGCCCATTTCCCTTAAACCTGTTTTGGCACTTGCCTAAGGACACAACGGGAGTCTGGCACTTTACAGCCGCCCCACTGTGGCTGGTGTTCTCAGAGGTTAAGTGTCTTGCCAAGGACACAACGACAGCAGACATCAGTGGGAGTTGGTGAAGAAAGTCTTTTGGTGGACTCAAACCCACAATCTTCAGGCTCAAAGCCCAATGCTCAACCAACTGAGCTACTGTCGCCCCAATGTTACTGTAAATAATTTGCTCAAAGGCACTTTCTGTTTATAAGTCAGCTCTTCCTAATTGTTTTCCAAAAAATTGGGATTTTTTTTTAGAAACAATTCAAAAACAAATGAAGCTTGCGGGAATTCAATCGGGTAGGCTCCCTGCTGCAGCCAATCAGAGCCTTTCACCCTCGGCCAATCACACAGTGCGGCCAATCACACAGCGCGGCCAATCACACAGTGCGGCCAATCACACAGTGTGGCCAATCACACAGTGCGGCCAATCACACAGTGCGGCCAATCACACAGTGCGGCCAATCACACAGCGCGGCAACCTACGGTAATTAAGCAACTGGTTAAAAAATCCTTTTCCCAAAGCCTCACAAGTTGTTCTGGAAGACTCACTTTCACAGTACTGGGACCTCATACCTGGACCTCATACCTTCAGTACCTTGACCTCACGCCTTCAGTACCTGGACCTCACGCCTTCAGTACTTGGACCTCATGCCTTCAGTACCTGGACCTCACACCTTCAGTACCTGGACCTCATTCCTTCAGTACCTGGACCTCTCGCCTTCAGTACCTGGACCTCACGCCTTCAGTACCTGGACCTCATTCCTTCAGTACCTGGACCTCACGCCTTCAGTACTTGGACCTCATACCTTCAGTACCTGGACCTCATACCTTCAGTACCTGGACCTCATACCTTCAGTACCTGGACCTCATACCTTCAGTACCTGGACCTCATACCTTCAGTACCTGGACCTCACGCCTTCAGTACCTGGACCTCACGCCTTCAGTACCTGGACCTCACGCCTTCAGTACCTGGACCTCACGCCTTCAGTACCTGGACCTCACTCCTTCAGTACCTGGACCTCACGCCTTCAGTACCTGGACCTCACTCCTTCAGTACCTGGACCTCACTCCTTCAGTACCTGGACCTCATTCCTTCAGTACCTGGACCACACGCCTTCAGTACCTGGACCCTTATAATAAACTAATTTGATTAATGTGTATTATTCTGTGTCTCTGTAGTCTCTCCAGATTGAAATCCCAGCACATCCGTCCAACCCGCTGCATGAAGGAGGTCCACCCTTAATGCGGATCTAAAAATGATGTGTTTTGCTGCGTCATAACAAACACCGGTCTGACGTTTATAAAGTAATAACATTGAAACCGTGTATCTCAGTGATCCTAAAACCTCTGCAGCGTGGTATGTAAAGTCGTACTATGCAATTCCAACACTTGACACTCCACAGATAACACACTGAGCACACACAGTCTCTTCCCAATATAGTTTACACACATCTAAATTTAAAGCCGGCGCATTTCGATCGGCAAACAGCAAACTAGTGTCTATCTTTAAAAACGTCTGAGGCAACCAAACATCAAATACAAACATCAGCATGCATATTTATTTTCCAGCCACATCCCTATTTCCAGCCCTTCCTCCCAGACAGGCTGGTATTTGTTGTGCTGTGGGGCTGATATATATAGAGGATCCAGACAGAGAGAGATTCCAGCGGCCGGTAAAGTGGTGGCGCTCCGAGACGCCAGAGCAGAGAGGGCCACTGTGTCCCTCACCCTGACCCACCCAGCTAATCATAGGGTGCTGTCCGGCCCCGGCTAACCCCAAATTACTGCCCTCGCCACCAGCTGTGACCAGAGGAATCTACCATGGCAATCAAAACAACTGTAGAAAGTGGTAGGAAACGGCGATATTCTCGGCAAAACTCCCGTACCTGGCGATTCCGCTCGTCAAGGATGCGGGTGATTTGGATTTTCTTCCTTCCCATTGTGGACGAGGGCGTGTCTTCGCAGTCGGAGATACGGGATATGAATCGGCCAATTGCGTTTTAGGTTGCTAGAGATCCCGTAAGCACTGTTTCACTGTGAGCATTGTCAGTCCAGCTCTGCATTGCCCCCTGTAAGAAACAAAACAAAGAGAAGACAGAGACATTAGCTCGATTTCCATAACTCTTGTTGACGTCCCTGTGATACTGTTTTCTGAAGCAACAAAAACATTAGCTGCTTCGTACCAACTTCCCCAACAGAAAATAGATTGTACACAAAGCAAACCACTCTCTAACTAATCCATTTACAGTTACTTAAAGGCATGTGCTTCAATGTGTGGACAACAAAACAACTTGATTCTACCGTTTTTGGCCTGTCATATCTTCAGTAGTGGTGGGAATGGGCAATAATGCGACGATTCGATAGCAATATTTAGGCCACATTCAATAATATTGCGATTCTGGGTTCGAATCCCGGTCAGAACAGGGCCTTTCTGAGTGGAGTTTGCATGTTTTTCGCTGTGTCTGCGTTGGTTTCCTCAGGGTGCTCCGGTTACCCCTACTGCTAAAAACATGTACAATAGGTATGAATGTAGTGCTTGAATGGATGGTGTTGGGTCAGAGGTTTTGATGGACCAGTGTGTTCGGAGTTTGGCTTCCGTCACCATCGTGTGGAGAGAATGGAACAAACTCTGAACATTGTAAAGCGCTTTGGGTGAACTTGGTCTGTGAAATATAAATAATCATTACTTACTTACTTCACGTATTTTGTTACAGAAAGTATTATGTTTTGATTCTGCGATATATTGCGATTTCTGTCTCTCATAATATTCACAGATGTTTCACAAATTGAGGAAAATTAGACTCTATTATGATCATGACCTGAAGTGTAAAAACGTTATCCTTAAAGCCTAGCGTACATGGACAGAGTAACTGGAGACAACTAGTTTCAAGGCGGCTTTTGGCGACTGAGAGTAGATGATGGAGATGATCAGTTGAAATCGGTCGATGTGAGCGCTCTTACAACTGGAGATAAACAGTCGATCTCCGGATTCAGTCAGTTGCCCGTGTTCTACTTTTCGGCAACTAGTTGTCCTCAGATCCGGAGATATCACCCGATGTGCTCCAACAACATGTGTGTATTGTGTGTATTGCGCCCTCTACAGTTTATGTCAGAAAACACACTGTAGTTGAGGCCAGTTGCTGTTATTCCCCAGACTGGCCTGATACAGGAGTTGCCCGTTTTCACCAGATTGTCCATGTGTGCGGGGCAGCAACTCAAAGGCCACGGATATAATCAGTTGCCAGTCCCATGTACACTAGTAAGTAAGTAATCTTTATTTATATGCCGCCTTTTCACTGCACATCGGAGTCTCAAAGCGGTTTACAATTGTTATTTTTGGGAGTGGGGCCAGTACAGGAGACCTATTGTACATATTTTTAGTGGTAGGGGAAACAGGAGCACCCGGAGGAAACCTACGCAGACACGGGGAGAACATGCAAACTCCACTCAGAAAGGCCCTGGTCCAACCGGGATTCGAACCCAGGACCTTCTTGCTGAGAGGCGAGAGTGCTATCCACTCAGCCACCGTGATGCTAGGCATTATACTTGCTGTTACAAGTGCTACCTTCTGGATGTGATATGCAAATGTATGATGTAAATCATTTAATTATATATAATACTTTTCTCTACTGCATTGATTTAATTACATGCACAAAAAAATCGCAATACTGACCTAAAAATGGGAATAAAAAAATCATGGAGTGGATTTCGCTGATGATTTTAGGTGTTTACTTTGCAATTCAAGCCATATCCAACTCAATTCAGTCATTTATGGTTAAATATCTAAGCGATTTCACACCTGAAAGGTTAATTTTGCATAAATCGTAATTTTTGTGAGACTGGTTTAGGTTTTAATACAAGATGGGTTTGAATGATTTTGGGTCACGCACTTTTTATTTGTAGGGTTTCTAGGGGGGTTTGGAGTACAATAAAAAACAACCTAATTTTAAATAAATATTGGTCTCTTTGTAACAGAATGGAGTGGCTTTGATTTGGTCGGATCAAAGCTGAACAGGACTTATAGTGTTTCAATAACAGCATTCACAGTGAGAAAGATACATATCCCAGCTTTAGACAGAGCAGCTTCCATAAACAGCCATCAACAACAATCAGTTTTTTTCTAATTAGGCAACACTTTCCAGAACACAATAACAATCTGAGTTGTTATTGTGTCCAGAAAGTGATATTAGGGATATATTTTTTCACGTAATCATAAGGGCTGTAATGTTAGATTCGGAAATCACAAATGATCTCGTTGCATACAATACAAATCTGTCTATCCCTGTGCTCAGATCTATAAAACAGATTTACAAAGATCACTGCAAATAATAAAAATAGGCAAAAAAAAGGTCCATTCTCACTGTTATATCTGCGAATGGACCTCCACCTTATCGAGCCTCGTTTTAAGCGCAGTGGGAGAGAATTTGCTTTACAACAGTGAAAATATCCTCAAACAAATACATATAACTTCTGACAATTTTTCAGGTTAAAGTTTTCTCTCTTATTAAAATCCACCCCATTCCACTTTGAACATTATCCTTGGTTCAAAAACAGAAGATGCAAAGCAGAACATCCATCCCAATGGGTATCAGCACTGCAAAAAATGATCAAATATGAGATCATAATTACTAGAATCGAGTTTTTTAACTTGACTTAAGTTCATTCTGACTGTCTTAAAATGAGATTTGCCAATGAGACAAGCAATTTTGACTTGATTCAAGAACTATTTCTTTATTTTCTCATTCCAAGAGAAAAATATCTTGTATCTTTTTAAAACAAGATAATTTTTCTTGTTCCACTGGCAAATCTTGTTTTAAGGCAGTCAAAATGTGCTCAAATTTAGATACATTTAGCCAAATTTTAGCATTTTTTGGTCTTTAATTCTGTCATCTTTTGCAGTGAGGGAAACACGCATTAAGATATTTGTTTCTAACTGTGCAGCCGCAGTAAACAGCCAGAGAAAAACAAGGCACCTACTGTTTGATGGCGGAGTTTCTGTTAGTCCTACAGCGATAGTGTTAATATGGCGCGGTGCAGAAGTGGCCACCTGTCTCTGCTCTCTCTGGTGCTTCACGGCGAGCTCCTTAACCCTCTCCTTAACCCTCTCCTTAACCCTCTCCTTAACCCTCTCCTCAGCCCTGTCCTAATCTCATCTGATCTGGGAGGAGGCAGTGTCATGGCGAGGCGAGGCTTTATCCTAACCCTCCCTGGATTACAGCTGCGTGTGGAGACCAGCGCTGAGCCAGGTACAGACCATGCCTTCATCTATCACAAGTAAAAGTGGTCTATTAAAATAATTGAAATAAATAAATGAATGACAAAGAATGAGAAATTAAAGTATCTTAATTACTGTCAGGAGGCGATACCTACTGAAGTCAACTTTAGTCTGAATTTCTCCATTTTTATTGAACAGTAAAAACATACATTTACAACAGTAGCTCAGTTGGTAGAGCATTGGCCTTTAAGCCTGAAGGTTGTGGGTTCAAACCCACCACGGGACCTACTTCACCACTCCCACTGATAACTGCTGTCATTGTGTCCTTGGGCAAGACACTTAACCCCACTTTGCCTGAAGCCCCCACTGAACGACCTCAGCTCCTCAGATTTGATTCTAGTTTAAAAACATACATTTAAAGTATTATTTACTTTACTACATTTTGAGAAATGTTTCCCTATAAAATGTAGCATAGGGAACATATTTTATCCAAACAAGAAAAGTCTGGAAATAAGAAAAAATACTTAAAACAAACTTAAAAACTCACTGCTCAGAACTTTTTTGTGAATAATTATGAAGTATGATTATATTAAAACTAGTAAAATAATCATAATATCCTCATCGGCTCCTCATTGGCTCCTCTTTGGCTCCTCTTTGGCTCCTCATCGGCTCCTCTTTGGCTCCTCTTTGGCTCCTCATCGGCTCCTCATCGGCTCCTCATTGGCTCCTCTTTGGCTCCTCTTTGGCTCCTCTTTGGTTCCTCTTTGGCTCCTCTTTGGCTCCTCTTTGGCTCCTCTTTGGCTCCTCTTTGGCTCCTCATCGACTCCTCATCGGCTCCTCATTGGCTCCTCATTGGCTCCTCTTTGGCTCCTCATCGGCTCCTCTTTGGCTCCTCATTGGTTCCTCTTTGGCTCCTCATCGGTTCCTTACTGGTTCCTCATTGGCTCCTCACTGGCTCCTCACTGGCTCCTCACTGGCTCCTCACTGGCTCCTCATTGGCTCCTCACTGGCTCCTCACTGGCTCCTCATTGGCTCCTCATCGGCTCCTCATCGGCTCCTCATCGGCTCCTCATCGGCTCCTCATCGGCTCCTCATTGGCTCCTCACTGGCTCCTCATTGGCTCCTCATCGGCTCCTCATTGGCTCCTCATTGGCTCCTCATTGGCTCCTCACTGGCTCCTCACTGGCTCCTCATTGGCTCCTCACTGGCTCCTCATTGGCTCCTCACTGGCTCCTCACTGGCTCCTCAATGGCTCCTCATTGGCTCCTCAATGGCTCCTCATTGGCTCCTCACTGGCTCCTCACTGGCTCCTCATCGGCTCCTCATTGGCTCCTCACTGGCTCCTCACTGGCTCCTCACTGGCTCCTCATTGGCTCCTCACTGGCTCCTCACTGGCTCCTCACTGGCTCCTCATTGGCTCCTCACTGGCTCCTCATTGGCTCCTCTTTGCCGACACACGTCCACAGACAGGGATCGATGCAGATGTAATATCCTCCTTTGGCAGAAACTCGATCCGGCCAACGTGGAAATCAATGAACGCCACCGGACCCGCTCGCAGCAGCAACACTACAGCACCAGGCCCACGGAGCCCACGGAGCCCACGGAGCCCACGGAGCCCACGGAGCCCACGGAGCCCACGGAGCCCACGGAGCCCACGGAGCGTGTCCTGTCTGTGTTACAGTCTAGGTTTTCATAAATATAAAGTAGAATATACTGAAATAATCAGACCACATCCTGACTTAATCCTGTTAGAAAACATGTTATTGTTTGTATATTTGTAAGAGACGAGGAGGACTCTATTTTCTACGTAACGATAGAGATTTTCATTTTCTAGTCAATTTGATAAACTATGTAGTGTAACTTTTTGCTCTGAGAATGATATATTTTGTGTGTGTTTTAAAGTATACACTGAAAAAGTAAGATGTATTTACTAAAAATCAAAATAAATTATTCCTATTCTTTTTTATCGCAAGTGTTTGTTGCGTGAATGTAGTTTGTCATAAGATTATTTTACCAGTTTAAAGATACTTCATAATCTTATAGAGAAGAAAGTCTGAGCAGTGAGATTTTAAGCTTGTTTTATGTATTTGTTTCTTATTTCCAGACAAACTTTTCTTGTTTGGATAAAATAAGTCTGTTATGATACATTTTAAGAACACATTTAACTAATTGTTTAAGAAATAATAAATAATACTTGAAATGCATGTTTTTAAACTAGAATCAAGTCATTTGGGGCCAGAATTATTTTGTTATTTACAGAAAACTTGTCAAAACAGTCAGAATGTGCTCAAATTAAGAAACATTTGGCCAAATTTGAGACATTTTTGACTTTTTGCAGTGTCTTGCTCTGGAACTCTTAGTCCTCAACCTAAACTGAGTTGGACGACCCTTTGTTTAATGTAAATGTAACAATGAAAAATGTGTTTTTAATTGTGCCAAAAGCTCTTCTAGGCACAGACTTTGCAAAATCAGCCTTGGCTATAAAGGCTGTAGTGTTTCCCATAATGAATAAATGAACAGGCATTTTGAGGACAAAAGAAAATACCGATGTCAGATTAGGGTTAGGTCTGGATCAGAAAGTTTTCACGGAGCGGTTTTATTCAATCATGTAAAAGAGGAAGAGGAATTCTCTGAAAACAAGAAGGACTTAAGTCAGATTTGTGGAAATCCAGGCCCAGTAATGACACGTTTTACTTTTTGTTTCAGGGCCGAGAAGTAAAGAAGTGATTTAGTATTTAGTTAGTACGTAGCCTTCATAATTGTCTCATAATTCTCACTCCAATACGGTTTAACAGATGCTTGTTGACAGATGCTTAATATTATGAATTGCATTGAGGTATTTACACTATCACACACTCATTGGGATAGTTTTTTAGTCTTTTAGCGTCTGTGTGTGAGCGACAAAGCTGAAGCATGTTCTTTGATCGTTTACATTAAGCTTCCGGTCGCACACACACTATGCCATTTCCTGTCTTATGACCTTTGCCACAACTTGTCTCTCTTTAAACCACAAACATACACACACACACACAGACACACACAGACATAGACACAAACATACACAGACAGACACACACACACACACAAAAACACACACACACACACACGCAAACATACACACACACAAACATACACAGACAGACACACACACACACACACACACGCAAACATACACACACACAAACATACACAGACAGACACACACAAAAACATACACAGACACACAGACATACACACACACACACACGCAAACACACACACACACAAACATACACAGACAGACACACACACACACACACACAGACATACACACACACACACACACAAACATACACACACACACACACACAGACACACACACACACAGACATACACACACACACACAAACATACACACACACACACAGACACACACAAACACACACACACACAGACACACACACACACACACGCACACAGACACACACACACACACACAGACATACACACACACAAACATACACACACACACAGACACACACACACACACACACACGCACCCAGACACACACACACACACACGCACACAGACACACACACACACACACACAGACATACACACACACAGACATACACACACACAAACATACACACACACACATACACACACACACAGACACACACACACACACACACACACACACACACACAGACCATTACCAATTCATTTCATTATTCTATTCATTTACCTAATCCTTTCAGAAACAGCAGCTAACCTTCTCAGTCTCACAACTTCTCAATCACAAACACCCTCATTCTGCTGCACCATGAAGTCAGTAAAGCAGTAGGTAAATGATGAAGAGTCTGAAAAGTACATCTCCCGTTAATCACACTTCCATCAATCCATTTTCTTCCACTTTATCTGTTGCCGGGTCACAGCAGCAGAACAACGAGAGACAGACACTTTCAGCTCATTTGTTGGAATACAGAGTCTCTCTAGTGTGTCCAGGGTCTTCCCCGGACCTCCTCCAGGTGGGAAAAGCCCTCACCTTCCCAGAGAGGGCTCCTCCCAACTGGCTTCATTCAAAATGGAGAAGCAGCGGCTCTACTCCAAGCTCCTCCCCTGTGGCCGAGCTCTTTTCTAAGGAAGCGCCTTGCAACTTGTTTATGCCGAATGTGCGATTTTGTCCTTTCACCCACTCGTTCCAACCCATATCTGTGAACGTCCTGAATGCAGACCATCGAGCAGAGCGGTTATGGTTTATGTTTGTGTTACGGTGTTGTTTTTTATGTCTTACTTGTTTATATTTTCAATGTAGCAGCCTGTGAGTACAAGACCATCACAAGGTGCTCCGGTCTGCAAAGAGGACTGTAGGCTGTGAGACCAGAGAGAGGCGAGAGAGAGAGACAAGAGAGAGACCAGAGAGAGAGACCAGAGAGAGCAGAGAGAGACCAGAGAGAGAGCAGAGAGAGACAAGAGAGAGCAGAGAGAGACCAGAGAGAGACCAGAGAGAGCAGAGAGAGACAAAAGAGAGAGCAGAGAGAGACAAGAGAGAGCAGAGAGAGACCAGAGAGAGACCAGAGAGAGCAGAGAGAGACCAGAGAGAGACAAGAGAGAGCAGAGAGAGACTAGAGAGAGACTAGAGAGAGACCAGAGAGAGACAAGAGAGAGCAGAGAGAAACCAGAGAGAGACAAGAGAGAGCAGAGAGAGACCAGAGAGAGACAAGAGAGAGACTAGAGAGAGACCAGAGAGAGACAAGAGAGAGCAGAGAGAGACCAGAGAGAGACAAGAGAGAGCAGAGAGAGACAAAAGAGAGAGCAGAGAGAGACAAAAGAGAGAGCAGAGAGAGACAAGAGAGAGCAGAGAGAGACCAGAGAGAGACAAGAGAGAGCAGAGAGAGACTAGAGAGAGACCAGAGAGAGACAAGAGAGAGCAGAGAGAGACCAGAGAGAGACAAGAGAGAGAGCAGAGAGAGACAAGAGAGAGCAGAGAGAGACCAGAGAGAGACAAGAGAGAGACTAGAGAGAGACCAGAGAGAGACAAGAGAGAGCAGAGAGAGACAAGAGAGACCAGAGAGAGACTAGAGAGACACCAGAGAGAGAGACACCAGAGAGCCCAGAAAGAGACCGGAGAGAGCCCAGAAAGAGACCAGAGAGAGGCGAGAGAGAGACCAGAGAGAGGCGAGAGAGAGACAAGAGAGAGGCGAGAGAGAGACCAGAGAGAGACCAGAGAGAGACTAGAGAGAGACCAGAGAGAGACCAGAGAGAGAACAGAGAGAGACCAGAGAGAGACCAGAGAGAGACCAGAGAGAGACCAGAGAGAGACACCAGAGAGCCCAGAAAGAGACCAGAGAGAGACCAGAGAGACCAGAGAGAGACAAGAGAGAGCAGAGAGAGACAAGAGAGAGCAGAGAGAGACCAGAGAGAGACAAGAGAGAGCAGAGAGGGACAAGAGAGAGCAGAGAGAGACCAGAGAGAGACTTACCCCTTGTATCCGTTTTGTTGTTGATTTTTTTGTTTTTTTTGGTGCACACAGAGTACCTTTTTTCAAATGTATTCCAATGTGGTTTTTATTCTGCACATGGCAAACAAAATGAATCTGAATCTGTGGCATCATGGCTACAGAGAAGATGGTCATTTGTATGTTTTAACTGCCTCACACATCTTCTTCAGGCACATTATTAAAAGGGTAGGGTCGTGAAACACATACAACATGGTGCACTGAGGCTGAAGGGACTCCTCTAAAGACAGAAGGACCACACTTTGAAGTCGAACCTAAATGAGCTGTTCATGAAGTTAACAGACAGACTTCTGGATGCTGCAGTCCCTGAGGCAGTGAGATCAGTCTGTGGTCTCTAACACCTCCCTGTTTACTGAGCGCAAACCCTGCTCTGAAATCTTTGAAGTGAGGAAAGCCAGAGACAGAGCTCAAGGAAAAAAAAGAAAGTTTAAAAGGCACTCAGATGAAATGAGAATATATTGTATGTTACTCGGAACAATGCCGCGGACATTTTGGAAAAACTGAACCCAAAGTTACCTCATTTGCCACAAGCCACAACAGCTGCAGTCTGCCCTTCAATCACAGAGAGCGGAACCACCAAGCGTTCCACGAGTGCTTTTACAACCAAGGAGCGTTGGTTTCATAGAAAAACTAAGGAAACTACTGTGTGGCTGCTGTGATCTGGCAACCCAGCGGACGCTTGTGCCCTGATTAAACCCTCGCTCACTCCGGCTGCATGCATGCGTTTCGTATTGACACTAGCTTTTCGGGTCACCAAGCTAATGACTTCAGCTCCATACGCGACGATTATTAAACTTATCTCCCTGGCAGCTGCAACACGGATGTTTAACGCCGCCTCAATCTGGCTCCAACTGCTTCCAACATGTGACCCCTGAGCTTTAGGAGGTACAAAGAATCTGCAGAGAGGCACTAAAACTCCGAAGCTCACGATGGAATCCACACACGCTGAATGACTATGCCTTGTTACACACTCTTGTGCTAGTAAAC